TGGCGGATTTGCTATTTACACGGTGGTATTTGCAAGCACAACGCGTCTCCAGAGATGAAACAGATCTGCTCGTGCGCGAGCAAATAGGTAGCCTAATTCTGATACATGCAATGACTATCCATTATGACATGAAGCAATTTTTATATTTATGTAGCCTACACAATAATAATCTTTTACATTGCAATCCTTTAATTTTTAATATTTGGCATGCTTGTGTGCTGCTGTGCGTCCCTGTGTGTGTAATAAGCAGAGTGTACACGCGCTGTGGACCCGCCTATACTAACGCACTCTTTAAATAACAGAAAACTACTGTGCCATTGACTTTAGACCAGGTTTTAATTGGTCAATGGCGCAGTCTATTTTAGTTGCCTCAAAATAGCAAAGTGCCAACAATGCGCCTGAACACACCTCGTTTTCAGACAAGCACACCCATGGGCGCACAAATGGGCGCAAATTCATTTGCTATTTAAACAACATGGCGCAGGACGTGAAAATGATTACTGCGTCGGGCTGAAACTAGCATAAAACACTTGCGTTGCGCCTGGCGCCTCATTGCGCCGGGTGTATGATAGAGCCCTTTAACTTCAAGTTCATAAGCTTATTTATGTTATGTTACTTTACCTCTTTTCCGCTGTTGTGAACCCTCTACCTGCGACCAAGTCATTCAGTCTTTCCCTCCTCCTACTTGTAAAAAATTTACTTGTATAGTGGGGTGAGATTGATCAACCAATGAGAAGCAACATTTGATCTAATTTCTAAAACTGCGACTACTGAAGCAACGTTCCATTGGTTATTTTCAAGTGGAGGTGGAAGAATTCTGAGTTCCAAATGTTTGGAAAGGTTGGAAATGGGAAATTTCAGCCTGAGTATTCCCACTTCCAACTTGTCTGGATCACGGCATTAGCAACTACCAGTAAATTAGACGACCCACACTTCCTTTCCATGAAACCACAACCTCTAAAAACATGTGGGCCAACAAACCTGAGCACTTGATTGGCTAATGCCTGTTTTTTTGTTTGTGGTTTAAAGAGTCTATACATATCTCAAAGCAAAAATTTTAGTGATATGATAATTTTATGTGTGATATTACAAAAATTTGTGTGTTCGTGCGCTTGCGCGTGCCTCAAAAGAGGGCTTACAATGACTTACAAAGATACATAACAGCTACAAGTGTATGCACTACTTGCTTTATGCAAGCACTATATAGGATAAATCACTATACAGGATTTACCCTATTATACTTTATCGACACGAGTTGATAGGTGAAACAACAAACAGCCACCCACAAATAGTCTATAAACAAAGCATCAGGCTGTCTTTGAGTTCACATGAACAACGGTTAAAGTTACTCGTCGTCAGGCTACAGAAGAATACCATAATTCCTCCGTTCAATTAGGCCTAAGACATCGAGAGTCACGCAGACCTATATCAACCCAGCCACAACACATAATTGCGAATAACATGCCTTACCTTAACACAGAATCGACCACAGAGTCCAGCGTTTATATTTTTTCTACGAATCTTCATGTACTAAACATGAGTGGAATTTGCACCGCAGCGCCCCCACACCTTGATGCTCATGACAAGAATAGCATGTAGTTATTTTTATTGAAGTGAATTAGGTTTAAATCGCCGCCATGCATGAATGAATGATATTTTTGCAATTTTACACATAATAATCCACGATGATCACATTACACAAAACTGAAATTGCACGTCAAAATAACACATTGTCAATATTTTTTGAGACCCCCCAAAATTTCACAAATCACGTTTTCAGGGGAGCCCATGTCTTATTAAGGGGAGCCGAGCTCCCCCGTAGTTCGCACCCTGGAAACTTCAATACCCATAATGCACTGGGCTCAACTGAACTGTTTGTGAACAGAGATACAAAAATAGTTTATGTCATCTAGCAGACTTTTGTTGACAAATAAACAGGGATGTTTTGGTGTAGGTACCAAGGAGAAAGAATACACACTGTTCATTTACATATACTACTGACATTGTAACTCACCAAAGCTGGTTGAAAATCAGCAAAATTCACCTTTAAATCACTTAAAGTGAGCATTAGATGTAAAAATAGAAGAAATCATCATGCACAACTGCACAATATGCAATATAAATTGTTAAAAACACTAATATGGAACTGATATATTGTGCATCCCGAAACAGCACAATGCAGCATAATACCACAGTGCAATCGATAGACATCATGGCCTGTTATTCTGATCATATCACTGCCATCGTTTAATCCTGTGTATCATTCTCTGTCGCTCTCTTCAGCACTGCTGATCAGTTTCACAGCTCTGATTTCATTGCTGATCTGTTTTCTGCTGAGGAACAAACACAGTGAATGCAAATCTCTATAAAACTCTCTCTTTCCTGTTCTGTCTGCGTCTCTTTCCGTCTCCGGTGAGTGTGAGAGCTGTCGGGGTAAGAGTTATTGATCCTGACCGTGGCCATCACAGCCAGCCAATAAGTCTTTAACATCTAGAGAAGAACCGAATGAGAATGTCAGACTGAAAAAGAGTGTGTGTGTGTGTGTGAGAAAGAGAGAGACTGATAGGGAGGGGTCTCTTGAAGCATTTAGCAGTCTGGCGGACCGCACTGCCCCCCGGGCCTGCATGGATATGAATCCACTGGGAAACATTTAATGGGTTATCTTAATATCTTAGGAATATCAGTGTTCATCTAAATTCATTACAGACCCTCTAGATAGACGAGCGCCAGGGTAAAACAGAAAAGAAGTGCAACAGCGGGTTTTGTTTTTCAAGACCGCCAGGTGTCAGCAAGCAAACATTTCTGCAACAGTTTTTGAATCGGGAGCTGAGAGGAAATGTTGGGAAAAACATGCAGCCATGGTGGCTAAATTTTACATTGTACAAATTGTACATTACTTTTATCTAATCAAATTTAATTTTATTTATTTATTTAATTTAGGTTTTACCACTGAGGCACAAGTCGAACCAGATGTTTTCTTTAGAAGCCGCTTTCTATGTCTCTATTGCAGTGAGTGTCTGCCTATCATTCTTACAATTCAATTTAAATGCTGCAGTTTCTAATCAAGTTATCGGCCAACTGGAGAGAGTAATTCAATTTTATTTACTCGCCAAAGCCCATTTAAACTCGTGTTTGGTGCTTGGTGAGTGTCAATTCTGGACCCTGCATGCAGCACTCTGAGAAAGATTGTACAAGAGTGAGAGAGATAAAAAGAAGAGGAGAGAGAGGGAACGTCTACTCTTAAATCTTTCTCTGAAGTTGCTGAGGTAAGGAGAACAGGGTCGATGCTGCAAAGCTGACGTTTAATGAAGGAAGTCTGTGCTTTTATGTGGTCCGACAAACTGGTGTCCTATATAGAG